CACTGGGGAGGGCTGGAGTGGAGACGCTCATTTCCCAGCAGAAACATCTTCTCACAACCTACCCAGCCGCCCAAGAGAACCCGGACAACGATAAGAAACTAGAACAAAATTAGAAACGACGCTAACGGGGTAATAACAAAAACACATGATCGATTAGAAAGGCCAATCCCTTCGCCCAGAACTGTCTAAACAGCCTAAGGAAAATTCAAGTATCGTAGCGCCGAGCTTCCAAGTGTCCCGGTGAATAACACCACTGCCGAAGCTTGCAACAATTACGGCTGTCATCTCCAGGCCTCACTGCCGTTGTCCCAAATGCCGATTTGCTCCAAATTCCCCTTCAGCTCACCCCCAGCATCTGCTGTGGCCGCGGAGGAGTGGGGAGGGTGTGCCGGTGCGGCATCCTTCAGGAAGCCCCCACCCGCCAGAGAAATGTTCTTGGCCTGGCTGGGATTTCCACGGGTCGGAGGGAAAACACGACCCTCTACTTTCTTAATCCATCTTCGGCCAGCGTGAAGCAGCGCAGCTCTGCAGAATGGTACCTCCCGGCTTCTGCGATGTTGCTTCACCGTCCGTCCTCCTCCTCCCGGCAAGGCAGAACCTGCAGGCACCGGAGCTGCGCCCAACTCCGGCCAAGACCCATCGCAGCATCCATAGCCGCGAACAGCACAACGGCATCCCAACGCCTTTCACTTCCCAGCCTTATTTTTTTTTTTCTTTTTCTCCCCAAAACGTGTCCGAATACGGTTCCACTTTCGTTTCGGCTTTCCCCGGGGCGTGAAACTTGGAGGGGTGCCCACGCCAACCCTCTGCCCTGAGGAGGCAGCAATTCATGGAAGCAGATGGGAAGGAGCTGTGTCGGCGGCGCTCGGGGGGATGAGCAAACCCCGGGGCGCTCCTCCAGTCCCTTTGCAGAGACGGAGCGCAAACCGATTTCCGCAAAAAAGCCAGAAAGCTTTCTGTGGGACAGCGGGGTGAGGCTGCCCACTTACGGTCTGTTTTCTTAAGATGAAGATAGACATCTGGAGGAAAACTCTACATCAGCTGCAAAATCTTACCAATCAGTGTTAATGAGCTGTCTTGTCCCTGCAAGCACCCATGTCTGCACTTGCAGGAGAGAAGATGTCTGCTGATATGAGAGGGATTTCAGTGATTTCTTCACCGAAAGGGTTCTCAAACACAGGAACAGGCTGCCCAGGGATGTGGTGGAGTCACCAGCCCTGGAGGTATCTAAAAGATGGGTAGAGGTGGTGCTGAGGGACGTGGTTTAGTGGTGGACTTGGCAGTGTTGGGGTGATGGTTGGATTCGATGATCTTAAAGGTCCCTTCCAACCCAGACGATTCTATGATTCTATGATTCCATGATTCTATGATTCTATAATTCCATAGCTCTGCCATTCCATGATTCTATGATTCTGCAATTCCATGATTCTATGATTCCATGATTCCATGATTCTATGTCTCTATGATTCTATGATTCTACGGTTTCAAGATTCCATGATTCTATGATAAGGGGGCTCCTGGAAGACTCCTCCCCTGAGCTTTTTTACTAATAATTCTCTGTAATTCACACACACGGAACAGCCTTGATTGAAAAGAAATGGCACCACATCCTTAAGCATTTGCAGAGGGAGCAAAGGAAAACCCCAAACCACTGCGTCACGAGAGAAGGGGGGACATTCCCTCCAGCTCAGAGGGCGTAACGCTGGCAACTAAGAATCGATCTGAACTGCACAAAAGGAGAGGATTTGTTGGTTTGTGTAAAGGATGGTTCCCTGAGGCGTAAGAGCACATTAAACGCGGTCGCAGGTTGTGACAGCCCCATTTAATTTCGCCACCTTTAGTAAACCTTGTAAAAGGCCGGTTACAGCCCGTGCCCTTCTGCACTCGACCGTCCACACGACGAGAAGTTGATGATGAGGAGAAATTCCTCTTTCCGAGAGAGGAGGCCGTGAGGATCGTGCTGAGCTCAGTGACCTCTCGCCGGAGCCGTCTCCTCGTCAGATGAATCATCCCTCCGGCCACCAGCAGCGAGGGAGCGGAGAGCCGGGCTGATGGTGCCTCTTCTGTGGAAGAGGTTGAAGGATTACAAGATCAAACCACTTCCTTCTTTTTCCCTATAACCAAAAAAAAACACCACAAACAACCAAACAACACTCCCCCCCCGCCAAAAAAAGCCCTCAAGAAGAGAGAGAGGGTGATGCCCCACGTGGGGCTTCTCCACCCAGGACTTGTGGAGCTTTTGGTTTTTTTTGAAGTTAATTTAGCAAAATCCCGTCCTTTATTGTAAAAAAGAATTTACAGAGAATCCCAACACACCAACGGTTCAGCCTCACCAGATTTCTGCTTTGCATATGCACTTTATCAGATAATTGAAGAGACTCAGGGGAAAAAAAAAAAACAAACAAAGAAACAAACTGTCCCAAAAGGCAGAAAACAAATTCCTACTGTCCCCAGATGAATGTCTCCATCTGCTTCTCTAAACCTTATTGGGAAAAAAAGAAAAAAAAAAGGCCATTTCTTTGTGAACTCTGTGTACCGATTTGAAAAGGCAGGGATGTTTCCAGCTGCCTTCCCCATGTGTAGCAGGGAATTCCCAGTCTCCGGCCAGTTGGGATATATTTATCTCTGTTTCCCCTGTGAGGGTGGGAGCCTGCCCGGGTAATTAGCGGCCAGGGAACAGAGGGCTTCGTCCCCACTCCTGCAGGTCGGCATTGTGAAGTGCTCTGGTGCAACTCACAATGACTCAGAATGCCATATTTAACCCTAAAACCAGGGCAAATAAACAGACAGAACCCTTCCGAAAAGAGCTGTGAAGTCAGCACATGACAACCTCTTCGGGAACAAACACGGGACTTCTAAGAAATCAGGCAGTTCAGCAGAGAATGGATGGAGAGCAGCCCTGAGGAGAAGGACCTGGGGGTGCTGATTGACGAGAAGCTCAACATGAGCCGGCAATGTGCGATCGCAGCCCAGAAAGCCAACCACATCCTGAGCTGCATCAGAAGAAGTGTGGCCAGCAGGGCGAGGGGGGGATTGTGCCCCTCTGCTCTGCTCTGGGGAGACCCCACCTGGAGTACTGTCTCCAGCTCTGGAGACCCCAACATAGGAAAGCCATGGAGCTGGTGGAGCGGGGCCAGAGGAGGCCACAAAGGTGATCAGAGGGATGAAACCCCTCTGCTGGGAGGAGAGGCTGGGAGAGTTGGGGGGGTTCAGCCTGGAGAAGAGAAGGCGAAAAAGGGGAGACCTCAGAGC